ACTTGAATATGATGCTGGGATTTAGCAGAGGCAAAAATTCACCTCACATGCCCTCCCTTCTGGCCCTCCCACTGGCTGAAACATTTTTTTTAATGTCTTTTTTTAATGTTTAAATCATGTTTATTCTATTACAGTTGTCTCAGTTTTTCCCTTTGCCTCCCTCCACCCATCCCCCACTTAACTCCCACAGTCAGTCCCCACTCTGTTGTCCATGTCCATGGGTCATTCATACATGTCCTTTGTCTAGTTCCTTACCCGTCTTTCCACCATTGTCGTCCTTCCCCATCGCCTCTGGTCACTTTCAGTCTGCTCATGTTTCCTTGCCTGTGGTTTATTTTGTTCATTAGTTTATTTTGTTGAATAGATTCCACTTATAGGTGAGATCATATGGTATTTGTCTTTCATCGGCTTGCTTATTTCACTTAGCTTAATCACCATTTCATCCATGTTGTCACAAAAGGTAAGAGTTCCTTCCTTCCTTCCTTCTTTCCTTCCTTCCGTCCGTCCTTCCTTCCTTCCTTCCTTTCCTCCCTCCCTCTCTCCCTGCCTCCCTTCTTCGATGCAGATTTTATTTATTTATTTATTTTTTGAAGAGCCCTTAGCTCCCAGCTCTGAAGCAAGTCTCGGCAGAGTCTGGGAAGGCTGGAGTTGACAGCAGGCCTAGTTCCCATAGCTACTGAACACTAGATTTGTCGCTCACATTATTCAGCACTGACAGAGTATTTGCTTGGCCAAACTTTAACTAGGCTCCCAAACCTTCTCCTAGGCCCCTCTGTGCACTTCCTCATAAAATCTTGTTTTAGCGAGGACCCTGCTGAGTCAGTTTAACCAGAACCCCCCACCCTCAATATCTGATCACCTTGATACCTGATCAGGTTCCTCAGCCTCCAGCATTCCCTGGGTGACATCTGATCATCCTGACCTGCCTTCAGCAAGAATCCTGTTGGGTCGGTTTAGCCAGAATCCAACTGGCCTGTGATATTTTTCTTCCACTGATCCCCACTGTGCTTTTTGACTGTAAGTCCCTACTTGGCCTATGCAGTGTTTGGAATTGAGCCAAGTTCTATACTGCGGTCTCTTCCCCTATTGCAATAGTCCTGAATAGTATCTGTTTTAACCACTTTAACTACTGTGCATCTCTGGTTTTCCTTTGACACCACAGCAGGGCTGGGCCGTCTCTAAGGAGTACTAAGCATAGCAGTTCAGAGTCCAACTGACCTGCTCTGTCTGAATTCCCTAACTTGCTGTGTGTCGTTTGGCATCTCTCTGGGCCTCAGTTTCCCTTCAGTAAAATGAGGGTAATACCTCTGAGGGTTTTCTAAGGATGAAATGCGTTCACACCCAAAACACTTACCACAGTGCCTGGCACTTCACATGGACTCTGTTTGGTTAGTGTAGATGTTGTTATTTCCTGTGTGTTGTTAGCAGGGGCCCAGGACACAGCTGTACCAGGTCCATGTGTGTTCTTTTAATTTACTTGATTGCCCAGCTTGCCTTTCCTGAGGGGCCTGGAGCCTTGGAATCAGGAATTGTTTCCTGGCTGAGTCACCGACCTCTCACCTCTGCGGGAGGCCGGCCCCCCTGCTGTGCCTCTCTCCAGAGGGCTGTGTTGGGGAGCAAATGAAGTAATGCAGGGGACACCTCTTTATGAACTTGAATACAAACAAAAGGGGTTATTATTAAAAATCATGAGCCCCCCATTGATTAAAGCATTTCTTTAAGGGGAAAAAATAGCACTTGGTCTTTAGTAGGACCCCCACGGGATGGGAAGCTCCCAGCACCTCTGTGGGGAGGGGTTAAGTCTTTTAAGACTCCATTAGTGTCAACGTTAATGGTGATGAAGCACCGGAATTGTTGCCATCGCCGTTTCTGCCTTTCTAATTGCATTCACCTCGAAAACCGCAAGTAGCAGCGGCTCCCGGTGGTCGTTACTTCATTTGAAAAACTAATTGGAAGTTGAGAGAGCCTTCAGTGTTTGCTTTTGTGGGGACAGGCAGAGGAAGGAGATGAGCAGGTGGGTCTGGGGGACCGAACAGGCTCGCGGCTGGCCCCGCGCGTCCCCCCATTGAGCAGGCCCCTCCTTTGTTCCCTGGCAGGTTCTCGGCCGCCCGCCACTCTTGGTTGAAGTGGGCTGCCTGCCCTCAATAGCCAGCCTTCGCCTCTGGAGGGGGCTTTTGTTTCCCTATTGTTCCTATTGTCTCCTCTGCCTGCCACTGCAGTGGCCCCCGTGGAGCCTTTCCCACGATTCACACCCTTTCTGGGAAGGTAAACGGCGCCCAGAGAGAGCAGGTGGTCTAAACCCTGTGACGAACGGAGGTGGCGGGTTCTGTTCTGGTGCGGGGAGACAGGTCCATGGGACTGTGTGTCCCCAGCTGGAAAATGATGGAGTTGGCATTGCTCATCTCTGAGTCCCCACCAACTCTAAAATGCTGTGATTCTTCTGCTTTTAATCAAAACACATTTTATCACCCAGACTTTTTTTTAAAAAAAAAGATTTAATTATAGTAAAATGTACAAATCTTAAGTGTGCGGCTCAATGCATTTTTACATCTAATGACACTGGTGTAACCATTGTCCAAAATATAGAGCATTTTGATTCCTCTAGGAAGTTCAGATTCTAATAAGAAACATGGGTAGAAAAAGTGGAATAATTGCTGACATAGATTCTCTGGTAAGTGGCTTCAGTTCTCAGCTTCATTTTATAGCAAAAATCAAAAGAATTATCTCTACCAAAGATTTCCAAATTTCTAGTAACTACAATAGAAAAGTAAAAAAGAAACAGATGAAGTTATTTTTAATGTTACTTAACCCATTATAGCCAAAATATTATTTTAACATGTAATCAGTACGAAAAATGTTGTGATTTTATAGTCTCCTTTCATTTTTGTCTTCGAAATCCAGTGTCTGTTTTACACTCGATGCACGCGTCTCAGTTCGTACCAGCCACATTTTACGTGTTCGGTAGCCACCTGCGGTTTGTGGCCACCATATTGGCCACCAGCTAAACTCATCAGCTCAGATTCCTCTCCTTCCAATTGCTCTTGAAGCCACTCGTGTCAGACTTTTGCCTTCACTGCTGCACCCAGTTCGTTCTTGCCAAGGTCATTGGTGGCTTCCATGGCTACTGCTGTGGTCAGTTCTCATGTGACTTGACCCATCAGCAGCACTTGGTACAGTAGGTAACTCCCTTCTTGGAATACTTTTGTTTTTTCAGTTGACTTCTGGAATTTCTCTCTCTTGTAGTTTTCCCAATGGCTCATTGCCTGCTCCTTCTCAGTCTTCTTTGCTGGTTCCTCATCTTTCTTCCAAACTTCAAATGCTGCGGTGCCCCAGGGTCGGGCCTTGGACCTCTTCTCTACTCTTTGTGTACTTTTTCCTTGGCGTGCTCGCTCACTTTTCTAGATGGTGACAGCTGCCAAACCACACTGGCTGCCCAGACCACTCTCCTGACCCCAGTCTCCAGATTCCATAAGTGCAGGTGCCTCTTCGACACCCTCACTTGCCCTGTTAATAGCATCTCAGGCTCCATATGTCTAACCCGTCTCCCAATTCTTCCCCAATCCCCAAAACTCATAAATGGCAACTCCATCCTTCCAATTGCTCAGGCCAAAAACTTTGGAGTCGTTTTTTACTCCAATCTCCACACCCTTTCCATTGGCAAATGAGTTCTACCCTAAAAATGTAACCAGAATTTGACCCTATCTCAGAGCGGTGTTAGGTAAGTGAAATCATGTTGTTCTTTTGCTTAAACTCTGTGCTGGCTCCTGTCTCACCGAGGATGAGTTCCAGAGTCCTTACCGTGGCCTCCCCGGGTCCTCATGAGCCGGGCTCCTGCTCTGTCTGGGCCTCCTTTTCTTTCCCTCACACCTTCTTGTTCTAGCCACACTGACCTCCTTGCTCTTCCTCCTTCCCCACGCTTGCCTCTGGGCTTTTGTATTGGATTTTCACTCTGCATGGAATGTTCTTTACCCAGATATTCACAAGGCCAAGGCCCTGCTTCCTTCAGGCCTTTACTCAAATGTTACCTTATCAGTGAGGCCTTCCCTGACCACTACACAGAACATTTATACATTATAGATAAAAGAATGCCCTCCAGAGCTCCCGATCCCCTCAAATTATTTTTAATGCTCACCTGAGGGTGTGTTTTTTATTGATTGTAAAGAGAGAAAAAAGGAGAGAGAGAGAGAGACCTGGGATCAAACCCACAACATGAGTATGTGCCCTGATTGGGAAGCAAACCCACAACCTTTTGGTGCACAGGACGGTGCTCCAACCAATTAAGACACCCCACCAGGGCTCCATCCCCTTAAATTTTTATCCTTCATAATTGCCACTATCTGACGTACTCTATGTTTACGTGTTTTTTGTTATTCTTCCCCTAATTTGAAGGAAAGCTCTATGAGGTCAGGGGCTTTGTCTGTCCACGACTGTGTTCCCAGTGCCTCAAACAGTGCCTGGCACATCGTGGGTACCCTATAACTATCTGTTGAATGAATAAATGGTGGTGCTCATAGACAAACAAGTCATCAATGGATGAAGTGTGAGCCGGGTGCAGAGTGGGAGAATATAGTTAAGAGGCTGACTCTGGGCTGGACGGCCTCAGTTTGAATGCCCGTTCTCTCCTTGTCGGCTGTACCCGTGCAATCCAGCTGACCTTCTCGGCTCCCTGTCTGTGAAATGAGAAGGACGCCGATACCTCCCGTGGGGCTGTGTGAGTAGTATATGAGATTCTAGGCATGAAGCTGCCCAGCCGGTACTCTGAGTGCCCAATAAATGTTAGCTTTTTTTTTTTTTTTTTAATTACACCGTGTAATACCACTTTGGGAAATGTAACTATGTAAACCACATAAAAAATTAGGCTGAAGATAAAACCGAACTGCAGACCAGGATGGGGGAATTTTATTGTATTTACAGAGGAAAAAGTAGGTCAAAAATTAAATAGGATTAACTGGATGCAGTTGTGTTTTGCCTGCAGGCAGCATAAAACACTGGCAGACTCTTCATCCTTGGGAATTCCTGCTGCAGAAAGAAAGAAAAAACTCCATCAGGGGACTGAGGAAAGGGCGAGTGAGGGCGGGGACACTTGGAACTAGGGTGATGGCTGCGCCAGTGTCAGGACTGACTTGACTGGGTCCCAAAAGAACCTCATTTTGAAGAGAACACTGGTGCGCTGTTGCTGGCATTGTAGATTGGTGCAGTCACCAAGTAAAACAGGATGCAGGGTCCTCAAAAAATTAAAAGTTGAACTACCCCATGACTCAGCAATCCCACTCCTGGGCCTTTACCTGAAGAAATCCAAAACGCTAATTCAGAAAGATATATGCACCCCTGTGTTCACTGCAGCATTACTTACAATAGCCAAGATTTGGAAGTACTGTAAGTACCCATGAATAGACCACTGGATAAAGATGATAGATACAGAGAACAAATTGATGGTTGCCAGATGGGAGGAGCTTTGGGGGATGGGTGAAAAAGGCAAAGGGATTAAGAAGTACAAATTGCCAGTTATACAAACAGTCATGGGGATGTGAGGTTCAGCATAGAGAATATAGTCAATGATATCATAATAACTATGTATGGTATCGGATGGGTACTAGACATACCGGGGTGATGACTTCGTAAGCTGTATAAATGTCAAATCACTATGTTGTACACCTGAAACTAATGTAATATTGCATGTCAACTATCATTGAAGAGTTTTTAAAAAATAATAAAAAGAACCTCATTCTTACCCCCAGTTCTGCTGACCCACTCCCACTGCGATCCCAGGCTGGCCACTTCCCCTTGAAGTCACCTCTCATCCCCAGACAGGGTTAGATTAGGTTATCCCTACGGAACACACATTCACCATACCCCTTGCGTCTCTTATCATTTATTACAAATTAACCAATCCGCCTTACAAGTACTTGTTTAAGTTTTGCCTGCCTTGGTGCATTAGGAATGCCACGAGGGCAGGGACCGCTGCTGCACCCTCAGCCCGGAGCCTGGCACGTAAAAGTCACTGGATGATCTTTAAGGGGCCGGAGGGCAGAGAAATCGGAACCTCAGTTACCGTGCAGGGCTGTTAGGGGACACGAGTGTGGTGAGTGCGGAAGTGTGCCATCCAGCAAATCATCCTGCTCTGCGTCACCAAGATGGAAGGACTCACGCTTAGTTTCCGTTTGCCCTGGCTCACTAGTGACATCCTGGTGTTTGCCGGACCGATGGCTGTAGCAGCCTCCAGGCCCTTTCCCACTGTACTATGACTTGGAGCTCTGTCAAGCCGTGGCTTTTGACCTGCAGGAACAAAGCCTGCATTCTTAGGGCTTGGCTTCCCTGTGGGGCCACTCACCCCACTGGGGCCTGGAAGGAGTCATAAAGCAGGTGAGTGATGACCTAATCCCAGTGTGAGAGGCCCAGGATAGGCATTACACTTAGAAGAGTTAGGGACCTTCGAGGTGGTCGGGGCTAACCCCCTCCTTTCACGGAGGAAACTAGGAAACCAGTTGCCGTGTACAGTCAATTGGCCACAAAACCAGACCTGGAGCCCGGGTACGCATCCTGCCCCCCAGCCTGGTTCCCGCACCCCCGGCAGCCTGCCTGTCAGCCTGCTGCTTGCCGCTGGTGTCTCCACAGGACTGTAGTTGGCGAGATCCCCGAGCTCTTGGTATCTAATTAGTTTGGGGAGAAGGTGAGGGAGGACACGGAGAGCTCTGTTGGGAACTGGATTTGCTTAATGGATCCAGAGGTGCCTGGCAGAGTCGTGCGGGGGCATGCATGTTTGGGCTCACAGTTGAAAATCAGCCTCAAAATTATAGCAGAGTTCCTCCAGTTGTGCCATTCTTGGGAAACTATCTGTTAAATGCACTTCCTGTGAAGGAACTTCAGAGAAGCAGAGCAGGTCTTGGTTGGGCCTGCCAGTCCTTGACTTGAAACCAGCTGCTGGCCCTTTTTGCCTCAGTTTCCCTCCTCTGTAAAATGGGAACACTCATTCCTGATCTCCCCTGACTCCCCGTGGGAAGGTGAGAGTCACTGAGATGGGCAATGACTGTTGCTCTGTTTCTCCCTCGCAGGAGTGCTGCTCCCGCTGGTTTACCTGAGGGTGTCAGGAGGGGCTGGACTTCCTTTGGCGTTATAGTTTTGTGAACTTGGCAAGGGACCCAGGACACACCTCTCAGATCGTGCCCAACAGAACCTCCTGGGACACTTGTGAAAATTCAGGTTCCTGGGTCTTATCCCAGAACGACTGAGTCAGTAAAGATTTTGGACACAGACGCTGAGCCTGGCCTCTTGCTGCATGTTGCAGATGCAGCAGTGGATAAGATCTAGTCACTATCTCACATTTTCTGCCCTTGGTCCAGTTCTTGATGGGAGTCAGGAGGGGCCGGCAGAGCCCCATGACTGGAGGGGAGAAGATTCTTTCCTTATCCTGCTGACCTTCAGGGAAGGAAGCCTCTGAGCTCCCTAAATATACCTATACACACATGTCGTGCATGCACACACATATATACACACATATACACACACATGCACGTATTCCTACCTGTGCTTCCTTGGCAGGGCCACCAGGATGCTCTCCAATGCCATCTGCTTTTCGTCTTCCCACACACTGTCCACCTGACGGCCAAGCCGTACCTTTGCTCCTTGTTCCTGGTTTCTCTCTCTGTTTCATCAGAAAGAGAAACAATTGAGGTTGCTGTTTGGGTGGAGAGGTCTGGGAAAGGCCAGGGCAAAGCAAATAGAGCAGGTGTGTCCCTGTGCCTATTCTGATATCTGGTATGGATGCTCCCACCCAGCTGAGTTGGATTCAGCAACATATAGGAAGGCAGTATATACGAGTATGGTGAAGAGCATAGGCTCTGTAATAGACATTTGCAAAATATCTCCCCACAGATTAATTCTTAATTACGAGGGGAAAACGATTAACTTTACAGAGGAGAAACCCGGCAGACACCACATTAACCAAGTGATCAAAGTCACTCTCACCAATAATGAGACAAAGTGACCTCGTGCGCCTCCTGACACGAGGCACAGAGATGATAGCAGCATCTCTTCTGTTGCATAACCTGAGTCCAGTCATGAGGGAGCATCAGGCAAATCCAATGTGAGGGCCATTCCATAAACAACTGGCCTTTACCAAACAAAATGTCAATGGCAGCTGTTCCAAAGACTGAGCAACTGCCTCAGATTAAAAGAAACTAAAGAGACATAACAACTAAATGCAACCCATGGATCCCAAATCACAAAAAGAAATAATTGTTGTAAAGGACATTTTGGGAAAATTTGAATAGGGACTCTAAGTGATAATTATACTGTGATTATGTAAGAGAATGTCATTTCATTAGATATTGGGAGATACCTGCAGTAGTAGTTAAGGGTAAAGAGTCATGATGACTGCAATTTACTCTCAAAGAGTTTAGCAAAATAATAATATTAATAATAATAATAAGTGTGTACATGTATATGTGTAGATCTCTATCTAGGTATAGATATAGAGTAAGCAAATATGATAAAAATATTAGGAATTGTTGAATATAGGGAAGCGTATGTGGAAGTCCTTTGTACCATCGATGCAATTTCTCTATACCTTTGGAATTTTTCCAAAATGCCCAGGCTGTGGAGTTAAGCTCTGCCAATCTTTGGTGTGTATTCCTTAGAAGTTATTAATGGCCCTGGGCAATGGGGTAAGAGTCCTACTTTGTAGTGTTGTTAGAGCAAATAAGAAATGAAGAATAATGGCTAACACTACCAAGGGCTTACTGTGTCCAGCAGTGTGCCAAGGACATGTGAGTGTCCCGGTGCAGAGCCTTTGTTTATGGCACAGAATCACACTCAACTGGTAACTACCATCAGTATTGTTACTATTGGATCCCAGCATAAGGAGAGGCACATAATAGGTGTTCAACGATCATTTAATAGCCAGAGGTAAGCAAAGCTTTGACATTGGGGTCCTTCTGCTCTGACAAGTCCAGAAATGACGGATGCTGTGCAGAGGGAGAGGCCAAACTTGGTCCCTCCCAACTGATGCTTGTGTAGTGTAGAAAGCAATCCCAAGAGTGGCTGCTCACCCCAACTGCCTGCTCATGATGTCCTGGAGCAGCTTGCGGGCCGACAGCTGGCCCAGCACCTTCCGGTAGCTGTTGGTGAAGATGGCGTCGGCATACCGCGGCATCCTATGTGGGAGGAGTCAAAGGTCAAAGGGCAGGACGGTGGAACCAGGCAAGGGGACCCAGGTAGCTACACTCAGCAGGTCTCTGTAAGGCTTTGTGTTGCCCTTGGCCCTGCTCATCCCCAGAGAGAGCTGGAACCTGGGCTGGACAACCTCTTTGGAGCTCAGAGCCTGGCCCCCTTCCAGAGGCGGGCAGTGGGGGCTGCCTGAGGAGACGGCTGAGGCCAGCTGATGGCTTGATTCTGCATCCTCTAAGCACCCTCCTCCCACAGGGACGGTTTCGGGGCAGCAGAAATCCAAGCCCTGTTGGCAGGGCTGCTTACCTGAGGGTCAGGGAGGGTGAGGAGCAGTGGGAGCCACTGCTGAAGGTTAGGAGCATGAGGAAGAACACCCAGAGCAGCATCCTTCACCCTTGTGGTGGCACCTGGAAGATGACAGGAGGGAAGGCCAGAGGTAGCCACGACCACAGAGATGCCCTTTGCTGGCTGGGTGGGCCCAGCCCTGGACCTGGCTCAGTGCAAGCTTTGGTCCTTTATCTTTTGTAAATGTGGGGTAGGAAAAAAACACCCAGACCCCAGAAATCAGATAGACCTGGGTTCCAATTCTGCCCCTGCCAGTCCCGAGTTTTGGCCTCATTTTCTCCATCTGTAAAATGGACATGCTGGAGCTATCCTGCTGATTTAGGCTTGAGCAGGAAATAAAGAGAGTGGTGAAACTGCCCCTTCCTTTGAGGCATTATACATGGAGTTCAGGCCTCAGCAAGCGACAGGGGAGGAGCAAGCATCTTCCCCTGGTCTCTCCCAAGACACGCCCCACCCCCATGTGGCCCTGACAGTTCAGAACAGGCTGACTGCTCGGGCCCTGAGTCAGTCGAACCTGAGTTCACCATCAGGCTCTGCCATCTCTAGCTGTGCCTTCCGGGACAAGTGGCTTCTCCTTTCTGGGCCTCAGTTTAGCTTCCCTGTCCATAAAATGGAATCGCTAACTATGTCTACTGCATAGGGTCCTTGTGAGCATTAGATGAAATGAGGCACCTGTCGTTGGGCACGTGGGGAATGCTCCACAAACTTTTGCTGTGATGATCTAATATTAGACCTGCTCGGATAGTCAAATTAGTCATGAGCTGTTTTAGTTTTGTGTGGAGTCGGAGAGAAGGGAAGGCTATAAATCTGGCTCCAGACACTTAGGTTTCACCAAAGAGTTTGAGTCGTGGAAGAGACCAGGGAGCCTGGGGAGCTCATGCAGCAGAATTATCTCATAGATCATGTAATTACCCTTAATTGGGGCCTGCCATGTGGTTCTCTGCAATTAGAGGAAGAACAGTCAACAGGGAAAGAGCCCTCCTCTGCTGGGGAGGTGCCTCCACTGTCAGCGCAGACCTGCCCTGGTGTGACTCAGCCCTGCCCCGGGAACTAACTGGGTCTTCCCATTTCCCATGCTCCCCACCCCCTTCAGCGGGGTATCCACTTCAAGGGGATACAGACCTGTCCAGAAGCCCCGCTAGTTCCAGAGAGGGCAGGGCACCCTCCTTTCCCATGATCACCCCTCATTGCTCCATTTCCACCCCGATCCTGCCTAGGAGGCATTCCTGGCAAGCAGGATCGGCCCAGGCAGAATCTGCCTTCCCTTCCTGGGCTCGCCTGACCTCTCAGGGCCTCACTGCACTCCTTCCGGAGACCGGGTCCTGACCCAGGGTTGCCTTGAGACCCAAGGAAGCACACATGGGGCAGCTCAATGCACGCGCGACCCAGCACCTCCACACCTGGAGGGAGCCGCCATCTGGGCCTCAGTCATCAGCCCCTCCTTGATGTGCACGCTCCCTCCACCCTACCCCCAGGCAATCTTTCAGTTCCTGCTCAAACACTTGTTGCCAGTGAATGACAAGGAGCTCACTACCTCGGTCCTATTTCCAGACAGCTCTCCTTGTTAGGAGGTTCCTCTTACTGTGTCAAGTCCAAGTCCCCTTAACTTGAAAATATTTGTTAAGCTTCTGGCAAGGACTAGGCTACAGAAGAGATGAGAACATGGTATCTGCCCCCCAGGGCTGCCCCTTCGACATCCACCTGCCATGCCACCCAGAGCTCCTGCACCTTCATCCACTCGACAGGCCCTTCAGACGTGTTTTGCATCTAGCTTAGGTCTTTGATCCCCAAACCAAGGATCTTCAGTCTTCTGTCCTCCTTGTCACACCATATCACATGTGGCTCCCCCGTTCCTGACCTGGTCCACTGCCAGTTTCCTAAGCAGGGGGATCTTTGGGGGCAAGAAGGGCCCCTTTACACAGCCGCTCCATTTTCTGTCTCCCAGCTGCAGCCTGGGCTTTCCTGTCTTTGTAGCTGGTCCTTTAAAGACCTGTGCACATCCAGGCCTCTAATCACCCCAGGTACTCGCTCAGAAGCCCTTGGCCCCTCCCTCCAGAACAAAGCCCAAACCTCTGCTCCTGGCCTACGACCTCCCTTGGCCTCCCCGCCTCCAGCACCTTCTCCAGGGTCTGGCACAGGTGATCCCCAGCCCCCCGTGCCCTCCTGGCCCGCACAGCCCACCCTCACACTCGCCCTGGGGGCAGGTATTGCGATCCTCATTTTAGAGCTGAGGAAACAAGCCCAGAGAGAAGGGCCTTTCTCCATGGTCCTCCGTGGGATTAGTTTCGGAGTGCGCGCTTCAGGACGGGCCTCGCAATTCCCAGGCCAGCCGACTTCCTCCTGCTCCCCGCAGCAGCCTCCCAGATACAATACCCTATTCACAGCGCTCCGCATTCATGGGGCGCTTCAGAATTCATCACCTGCACGTGGGAAACGGGTCTGGGGAAACCGAAAGCTTTTGCTCTTTGTCATTGGGTCTCTGGGGAAGGAAAAAGGGGGACAAACAGAAACACCTGCTTGGTTGGCGCATCCCTATATACATACAGTGGTTTAGGGAGCTGAAAATAACATAGTAAGAAGGCAGATTGGGAGAGTAAGTCATAGTAAATCCAGCAACCCCTTGCTCATTCAGAATGGTGCTGAGCAGCTACATGGCCTGGTCAATCAAGACGCACAGCATTTGCCATAAACCAAGTGCCCCAGGGATGGGTCAGGCACCACAGCAACATTTGGGCTGTGAGAACCCAGTCCATGGGGTTGGAAAATCCCATTAGACCAAGATGGAAAACAATAAGAATTATCCAGCTTATGCTATGAGTAGAATAGAGGTTGCATCACCAAGGATAAAGGAGCTATTGACAGACACATTCCATATGACCAGTCTAAGGAGCTAGAATTCACTGATTTAAGTGTAGCACAAATCCAACAACACCATCGACAACTCCTTGATGTCTCCAGAGGCATTTAAGGGTTTATCATCTGTCATTACGGGGATCAGTTAGCTTTCTACAGAGCTTACAAACTAATTCTGTGATTAGATATACATGAGGTCCATCTGGATTCAGGGTAAGTGGGCACTTGATCTACATCAGTTGGCACCTTTCGCCAGCTTTCAGGCCAAAAATGCCACGAGAATTCTGCAGAATTCTTCTGCTAACAACAGAGGTCAGGTCTCAAATCCCTGAACTACCAAGGCCTCTTTTGAACACCTGGGGAGAAAAATTGTTTACCTTTCTTAAATATTCTGCTTTATAATTTAAGGACCCCAGTCCAGTTTATAAACTGTTTTGCCAATAGTGTTCCAATTCTCAGGAGATCTAAGTTTTTAACGAGGAATTGTCTTGAATTGTCACTCAAGGGAATGACACCCCGTCTCCTTCCAGTTGGGGGTTGAGGCGGCTTATGATGAAAGACACAAATACTTCAAGACCATTAAAGTAAGAATCAGAAAACAGGCAGGGGGGTAATGGAGCGCTCCAAGGGCAGGTAATTGTATCTAAAACCTAAAGGGACGAGTGCAGCTGCAATTGAGCAAGAAAGCGAAATGTTATCAATTTCCAGGCAATTATGTTGAATCGGTTCTCAGCGATCGATGTGCAGTATTGACTTGCACAGCTGCTTGGCTCCTTTCTGATCCATGGCAGAAGCCCGTTGTCGACAGGAGAATCTAGCCAGCCCACCTTGCCCCAGAAGCCTGCCTACACATGCCTGAAGGAGCACTGAGACCTCATGCGCCTCCGACAGATACCTGCAAGATGTCTACCTGCCTGCCACAGCTCATGGGTCGAGGTGCCACACATCCCAGACAAGCGCAATATGGCGCCAACCATCAAAAATCATGTTACAGAGCCCCTAACGAGGGGCCTAAATGTACTCACCAGTCCACGGGCAAAGAGGATGGTAGTGGGCCTCTTTGACTTGGTGTCTCTGAGTTGGTGGGAAGGTCAACTCTCTTGCCGCCTCTCACCTGCGATGTGGCAGATCTCCCTCTGCTATGAGGCGCTGCTCCAGTTCCACGGTCCTCAGGCTCGCGTTTGCTTCGGTGGCTGCGCAACGCTGCCATCATTTATACCTTCATTTTCCTAAGTGTTGTCAGCGTCAGAGAATCAATTACTCACAAGTCAACCAAAGGGCCATTTTTAGCATCACACTGACGAGCCCCAACAGGGGAAAGAGGTTTGCCCCTTACAAACTGAGGTTCATGTTGGACTATCCCTTTATCTTTGAGGGAGTACACAGAGGACAACGTTATATTATTCCACAAAGAACAGAGAGTGTAATACTGCTACTCTAATAATGGGAGCACTCTTAACAGTGAAAACACCAAAGGTTCATTTACTCTCTGAGATCAACATGTCTTAAAAAAGTTCATATAGTTTTGTCCATGTACCACCTTATTTCACTTTACGGGAGCCAACATAGAGATAAGTGTTTTTCTCTCCTTAGTAGGAAAGTTTTTCACCATCTCCCTTGTCGTCCAATTATCAAGATTTTCCTCTATTTGATTTACACCTGCTATGGTCCCAGGCTGGTGCAGGCAGCTTGCCCGGGAGCATCCACTGACACGTATCGAGGTGGCCAAATTGGTGGTTGTGTCAGAGATGTGTGAGGTGAGAGGAAAGAGACAGAATACCCTGAGAGGGTTATGCTTCCAGATTTCTCTAGCCTGTAGCTAAAGGATCCTCAAAAAGTGGCATAAAACTGTGTGAAGCAGAAACGCTGTTCTCCTGTTGGGCTGCCGCGGATGGGCAGGAAGAGCTCTCAGCTTCAAGCCCACCTACCTGCCGCCTCTCCTGTGTCTGTCAGTCACAACCTCTGTGATCCTGAGCAAGTCATTTCTACCCTTCGGACCTCCATTTCTATATCTGGACAACCAAGATTTGGCAGAGAACAACAGCTTTCAAATGTTTAAAAAAGTGCACATCCCTTTCTTTGGAAATCTTGTATAGAAGCTCAGTCTATAAAACAGGTTTTAAAAATGAACTGGACTGCTCTGGCTGAAGAGGGAGGAGTGGAGACTCCCTTTGCACCTGAGACACTT